AGAAATAATTCCTTTACCTGATATCAAACTTACCTCTGGCTTTTACCCATAATGTTGAAAATGATTTTTGTATGTTATATTACTTTCAGGTCGTCTTCAGCTGGGTGGGTGAGTTAGTACCATTTAAATTCAAACGATGACTTAAATGCCTTCTGAATATTGAGTCCGAGGCTAAGAAAAGAAAAACAGGAAAGCAGTGGTGAGGAGTCAATACATTTATGACACCCACCAAAAGAAAGAACCAGAAGCTGCAGAGGCTTTGTCACAAACTCACAATACTCATGTGATTGCATTAAACATCTAATATTTTGTTTCTCTGATGGTGTTTATTGTCAACCATAAATGCAGAAAAAAATCAATATCAGATCAACGTTTCTCTTTGCTGAAGTTAGCTTGTTCACAGATGTTTAAACCCTCTACATTCATCTCAAATAATTAACTCGACTAGTCTTTTATTATTCTCTGATTTAATAATTTTTTTTTCATAGATTGTAAGTTAGCTTATCATTAATTTCTGTTTGCCCCCTAACTGTTTTTACCATGATGAACAGATACATTTGGTAAGGTATTTGTCCTTTTTTTTTTTCTTTCTTTCTTTCTTTTTAATCAAAAAGAAACCTTCATTTCATTCAAATTTTAAAGTTAATAATTAAAAGAGTTAATTTTTTTAAATTTACAATACTGATGTAGTGTATTGTTAAGACTGCATAAAAAAAATAACTTTTAAATACACAATAACTAATATAAAACACTTTAATCATCCAAATTATAAAATAAAATAAAAAGTGAAAAGATTATCTAACTTTCTAATGTTAAGTGAGAAAAACCTATAAAATAACAAACAAAATTATTGATAAACATAAATTTTTTCACCTGTATAATTAGGATTTAAACTCTTATTCTCCTACCTCACATCTATTCGAATGAAAACTTTAACCAATGAATTTGTGTCATGAAAAAAAAAATTTTAAAAAGAAAAATCTACCGAATACTCTTCCCAGCGACAGATTGCAAGTACTAATAAAATTCAGTTTTAATAGAACAGAGCATTTATGGAGGCTTGACCCTGCAGTGTTTGTTAACAGTTATAAATATAATTTAAAGCCTGCTCTGAAAATTTTCGACTTTGAGCACTGTTGGCTGTGTGACCTGTTTGATCAAAATCATCAAATCCATGTTGAGTTGAAATGGGTGAAATGTCAAAAGTCCATTCCAAAACCATTCAAAATTTACAAATTAATTTCTTTCTTTTTTTCCAACCTGCCAAAGTGCAGTCCTCATTGAAAGCAATGAGATTCCTGCTTCTGTGTACAAGAAATTAAGGCGTTAATACAGAATCTCATCTAACAATAAGATCATAATTAGGTTTCACCTAACATTAGACAAATAGTTTGTGTGTGGAATCAAGAGTCTTAAAGGCCATTGCCTATTTTCAAAAAAAAAGTCTTGGAGGGTGGATGGGTTTGAAAATAAAATTATATGGGTTTGAAAATAAAATTATCTTTTTTTTAATCATGGTAAATTATACAATAAAAAATATCTCTTTCTACTTATTTTCAAATTCACATTTAAAATTTTTAATATAAAAATTTAGATCCTTAACTACTTAATCATCTTCTAAAAATATAAAACTATCTTTTACTCACATAATTCTTTTATTAGATTTATTAAAAATGTCAAATCAAGAAAGAGATTAGTAATTGAAATAATTAATTATAATTATTATTATGTATAATAGTAAAATTAATTTTTTTATTTTAAATTATATAATAAAAAACAATCTACTCTCATTTATTTATCTACTTCACTCATTTAATTTATTTATCTATCTATCCCACTCATATCCTCACAGGTCAAACCAAAGATTTCTTGCTCCACTTGATGGATGGAGAGATTTCTATTAAAAAACTTAGAATGAATAGTAAGATCAATTAAGAGATAACTCTGTGAGTCATTATTTTCCCACATTATATCTTCCCTTGCTTTGAAGTACGTGAAAAAAAAGAGAAGATCCAAACGCTGCCTTAACACCTGTAAAACGACCATAACTAGTTGTTGGGTTTAGTTTAAAACTGGTAAAAGCTTCCCTCTTCAAGCTTTTAAACAGAATCTCTTCTTTACTAGTGCGTCTGAAACGGTGCTTATGACAACAAGAAAAATCCAAACCCATGAAATCTCGTCCCCATAGTAATCTTTCTCAGGATCTCTTTGTCCTATGAATCCCAATAAACAAATAAAAAAGAACAAATCTTTCTCTTTCTCTTTGTTTACTTTACCGGAAAGATAGAAAGAAAGAGAGCAATTCAACTTGTTCTTTCCTTCTCAGGAACTCAGTGAAGTCAATGCAATCTGCTGCTCTGTTTCTCTCCGTGGATCTGAGTCTCTGTTAGATCATTCCCAGGTAATGTACTGTTTCTTGGATCTTTATTCTTTCTGAATTCTGCTCAAAGTTGTTGTAAATGCATTTCCTTTTCTGGGTTTTGTCTCTCTTATCTTTTCCTTTTATGGGTCTGATTCAATTCTTGATTTAGAACAGAGGGTGAAAGGGGAGATTTGGGTTTATTGATCAATGCTGAGAAAGGAAAGCTTGGGAATTCAGGTACTTGTTCATAAGATTTTCCAGGGAAATTCATATCTTTTCTTTTCAGTTTATGTAATGGAGAATACTTACTATAATTTAAGAGTAAAAAGCAGAGGAGATGGAAGAAGTCATTTCAAAAATGCTTTTAAGATCTGTTTGGATGAGAATTTTCTAAGAATGGAGACTTTTGAAACCATTCAAATGAAAATGGTTCTGTTATTTCTTTTATGTTATAATCATGAGATCAACTGATTTAGTTTTTGCTTGTGCTTTTTTTCTGAGGCAGGGCCGGTTTAGACAGTTGTTGAAGAAATATATTGGTATATATCTCAGTCTATGCAAGTATTTCATGATCGTCTTACTGGTATGTTAATGTTAGTATTTGTGCTTACATTTTCAATCTTTATTTTTTTCTTTTGTTCCTCCAGAACATGTACAGATCGTTTGTCACGTGTGATGATCCGAATGGAGTTGTAGAATGTGGAATGATTAGAAGATCAAGAAGTCGTCCAGGAAAAATGGAGCCTAAGATCGAAAGAGGAAAAGAAATGAAGAAATCAAGCGCGTGTAAGGTGGAGAAAGGAGACATAGTTTCCAAAGGGAGCTCAGCAGAATGCCATAAACCGTCCTCCTCTCAGCTCTTGGAGGTTTCCAGAGGAGCTCAGAAGCTGAATCAGGTAATTGATATATGGTCTAAGGAGACTAAGAATGTTGGGAATTCTAAAGATATAGCAAAAGATTTGTTGAAAGGGGCTCTTGACTTGCAAGAGTCTTTGCATATGCTTGGGAAACTGCAAGAGGCATCTCAGTACAAGTCAAGGTTGAAGGAGAAGGAGAAATCTGATAGATTAAGAATGAGTGAAGTGATGGATAGAGTGAATTCGAGTTCTTTTAGATTTAGAGAACAGAATTACCAGATGGGGTTTCAAAATCCGCGGCTTTCTGCTGATGGTTCCTCCAGAGATTCCATTGAAGAGCTTAAGAAAGTGATCAGAGAAAGCCTAGCGAGGCAGAATCTATTGCCCGATGGAAAGACTGAAAAAAATGCCTACCTCAGTGGAAGATACATGGAGTCAGCTTTGGATTTGCCCTCCACGAGCTCGAGCCAGACTTCAATGGTTCATACCAGCAACTTTAGTTCCACTGACTCACCTATGTCATCAGCAGCTTCAGAGAAGAAGGCAAAGGGACCAACTTTGGTAGCAAAACTTATGGGTTTGGAAGAATTTCCTTCAAAACAATTGCAAACTACTACCAAACTGCTGGACAGAGAGAAGATTTTCAATCAGCAGAGGCCTGCCTTTGATATGGATATGCCAAGGGCAAGGAAGCCTCCATTTCTAGTTCAAAAGGAAGATTCTGAGCGGAGGACGCTGCAGGAGATTCTTGAAACCATACATTTGAAAGGACTTCTGAAAAGCAAATCCTCCAAGGAGCACAATCCTCCTTACCTTCATTCCCATGATCCCTTTTCCAGACAAAGGTTGCTCAATGATGGTGTGCCTATCGTCCTCATAAAACCTCTACGTGATCCATGGTCACAAGTAAAGAAGCCTTCTATGCCTGTTTTTGGGGAGGAGAGGGCTGTGAACAAGGAAACAGTGCTCAAGAAAAAGAAAGCAAATGAGGAGCCTCCTAGCATAACAATTGATTGCAAACAACGGGGTTTGAACTATGACAGAATGAGTGACAACGTAGTAGCAGAAGAGACTACAATGAAGAGGGTTAGCCATGATGGAGTTGGAGACAGAAAAAAGACAAAGATTAGGTCCGAGAAACAAGAAGTTGAGACCAAACAGAAGCTTCTGAGCAGGATGAAAAATGCTGGTGCTCTAACTCAACAACCAGAGAAGAAAGATGCAATTGAAAAGAAACCTGTTAAGGTTCAGAAGCTTGCAACAGCTAGCAGAAAACCTGTAGAGAAAGAGATTGTAAAAGCTAAAAATTTGACAAGATATCAAGACGAAGCTAAGGGGACACCTACAAAGTTCTATAACCTCAGAAATAGTACAAAGAATCAAAGTTCCCAGAAACAAAGTACTGCTTCAAATTCCATCTCTACTAGCAGAAAACGAGCTAAAGTGCATGGTACCAGAGAGCAAAAAAAGAGTCCAGTTAAAAAGGAAACGCCAGTTAGCAAGCCTACAGCAGCTAAAGTGATTGTGAGTCTTCCTTCCCTTTTGTCTACAGGGTGCAGTACTAGTGAACCTTCTTTATGTATTAATACAGTCCTTTGGCTTTATATTTTGCAATAGCCGATCTACATTTCACTAAACACTCATTGAAGAATGCTTAGAATTGCAAATATTGGTTTTTCTGAACGTGTTGATCCTTGAGGGAAGGATATGAAATTGACGTACTCTTTCCCGTATGCAGATAGAGAATTTAGGACATGAGGCATATGGCAAGAGGCTTACATCAGAAAATGACTCTGCTTTAGTTGAAGACCAAAAATCTATGGAGGGAACTGAATCATCTGAAAATCAGCTTGGAGGTATCCCCCTTTCCTAAATTCTAATGATTAATTTACCAAACTAAATATGAAAACTAAGGTGACATAAGTCAGATCAAATTTAATTACACAAGAACATCAGTATATCATGTGCAGAATGGGAATGTTTATCTGACTTATTGTCTGTTTTTCATTGTAGGGCACTGCAATAATGACCGGAGTTCTGTTTCTGGAATTATACCAGGAACTGGTGAATTTCAGAGAGACAGTAAATGTAGTGAAGAAGTTGATGATCGACTTAGTCCACATGAAGAAAGTAAAAGTTTCAGAACTGGAAACACTCTAAAAGCTCTACTTTTGAGCAATCCAGAATTTCAAAATCACGCAGAGGAGCTTTTTGATCTTAATGTGAATGCTCCAACAACTTTTCAACTACACAGAACCATAGATTCTATAGATTCCCAAGTAAGACTCTCCCTGGATTGTGCAAATGAAATTACTCGACGCAGAGGCTCTTTAGATTCTCAAATGATCCACCCCCTGTCACCCAACCTGGTTAGATTCATGAGAATCCATATATCTCTAGATCAGTTGTTGGACCAAGTTTGTTATGAGGTTGAGATTCTGAGAAGCTATTCTGAACTAGCTGGTAAGAACAATCCTACAGATACCCTTCGTGAAATGTTGGAAAGAGATATAAAACACAAAGAGCTGTCAACTGGAATATGGGATTTGGGTTGGAGCAATGTATTTTCAATGGATGACATAGGGGCCATTGTGAATGACATAGAGACTTGGCTCATAACTGCACTAGTTGAGGAGATATTTTCATAAACTTCTCCTTCAGCAAAGTATTACCTGGTTCTACTGATACAAGGATTCATTCAAGAGGAAGGTGTTGCAATCTTCTGTAAATATGCTTACTTTTACTTGTAGCTAAGGCCTCATTGTTATTTGGAACTTTGAAATTTATCTGCAAAACGCTGATGAACAACTAGGATTTAGATTTGAGAGTTACATTCCAAATGTGAAATTTTTCATTAGCTACTGATAAACATGTGAAAGAACATTTCTTGGTTAAGAGCAGACAGGTAGGTGTATCGAAAAGTGTTGGATATAAAAGGAAAAATGTAAATAATTGAAGCTTTCCTTTGTCTTATCTCTTCATCCTCATCCTTTTTCCTTTCAGTCAAAGGAAGCAAAAGACAGGACAGCCTCATCAGACATGAATTATTTAGGTACAGGTCAACTTTCATGCTGGATATTATAAATTTGTTCTTATGTTATATGATTAGCCAAACCCTCTATTTGCACCTTGTACGTTATTTTTGTATGTTATTTTTGTTCATAATCAAAATCTTTCATAATTTTCACTTTTGATAACACTCTCCATAATTTGAAACTTAAAAAAAGCTCCAAATTACCAACAAAGTTAGAGTGCAAATAGGAGATTTGACAATTAATCTTTGGGATTTTTATAGGTTTCAAATTATGAATGGTGCTTATTAGAGTAAAAATTCTTACAAATGTTGATTGAGAGAAAAAATAATGTGTAGAATGCAAATCGGGGTTCGGCATATATGATTTTGATGAAGCAAAAGGTCAGACTTAAATGCTAGAGTGTTGGTACTTTTAAATTCCTGGTAAGGTCACTGAAGCAGAATGGGACATGAACCTGTACCCTCCAAAACTAATTTTTTAGCAGTAAAATATCAAGCATGCATGAAGATGAAGATGGAGCAACCCACAGAGTATAAGCACAAGAGATGACCACTAAAAAAGACAATTACAATTTACAACTAATATTTTGGTTTCACATTCTTCTTTATTATTACATCAATTGTAATAAATTCTTAAGGATTAAGACATAAGGAATAATTTTCCAAGCTCCAAAGAGTGATAGCAACATGATTTAAAATGGGATTTTAGAAAATCAATTCTATGATAATGAAATGACTTAAATTGGATGTTTATGAGCAAATTAAAAGTTCGGTTTGAGTTCGGTATATAAGTTGTAACTTTGACCAAGAATAACATAAAAATAAAATAAAACTTGTCCTTTGGAAACTCCCATGCTTGAAATGCCCATGCCCCTTAAAAGAAGAGACTTGTCTGGACCCAAATAAACTCATAAAACTGAAATTTCTGAGAGGTCGAGAGCACCTAAAATCCCTTTACGAAAAACAAAATCTACCAAACTACACGCTACAATTAGTATCGCTTGAAGGGACAAAATCCATTGGACAACTTGTATAAAAGAGGAGTTGCAACCCAAATGAATAAACCTGTCAAAACAATAGAGCAACCATGATTTAAATAATTTAGTATTATTTTTTTTTTTGTTAGAAATAAAATATTTTAAATTTAAATTACATAATATATAAATAAAATAAATAAAAAAATAAAAAAAATTATTTTTCATTGTATAATCAATAAAAAAAAATAAAAAAAAATAAAAACTTAAAAATACAGAGTACAATAGATTAAAAATAGAAAGGGTCCGTTTCTTCCCTTCCAAGCAGTACTTTTCTTTTTTTTGTTTCTCCATTTCCCTCAATGATGTGGTAACAGCCATTTATTATCCTGTTAAAGTTTAATTTTAGTGATATTTATTTATTTATATTTTTTTAATTATTTATTTTTATTTTTTAAAATTTTTATTTTTTTTTTTTTTTAAAGGTTTACAATTTAAAGGAGATTTAAACTGAATCCTAAAACTGAGAAATACATCTTAGTATAGGGTTTAGAATTGTTAGGTCTAAGGTCCAAGTGTAAAAATATTAATTTTTAAATTAATTTTAATATATTACATAATATATATTAATTATTATATTAATTATAAAATATTTTTAATAATTAAATTAAATAAACTTAACCATATAATAAATAGTCAAAACTAGATAGAGGACACAGCCACCAAGATTTTTTTCTGAGCCATGTAATTGGGCTTGATTGTGGTGCATAAGAATATGAACGGTGACTTCTATGATCTTTATCTTATGAGAATGATCTCACCCCAGTAATTAATGAAATAGTCATATAATAATTATTTTTTTGTGTAAAAATTGAAAATATTAGATGTTAGTCACAAACTTTTTTTTATTATCTAATTTGACATTAAAAAAAAATATTCATGAAGCTCATCTGTTTTTATATATATATATATATATAATTAAATAAAACTAAATCAATTGAACCTAACTTTTAAATTATAATGATTCGTCTCAAATTTTCAAGTAATGAGATTTATTAGTCAAAATTTCAAATTTTCATGCCTTGAAAATCTCATTCTCCTTTTCCTAAGTTATACACTGGTAAAAAAATATATATATTAGAAAAGCTGACCAAAACCTTAAACATGGAGCTGGAAGGGTAGATGAAGCTCCTTTCATGTTGCCCCAGCTCACGCCACCCGCAAACCCCACTTCATTAATTTATTTGTCAAAATAATTTTGGTTTTTTTTTTTTTAAAATTAATACGTATCAATTTTAATTTTTAAAAATATTAAAAATTTTAATTTATATTTAAAAATTAAATATTAATTTAAAATTTAAAATTTTAATAAATTTTTAAATTTAAATATTAATATTTAATAAAATAAATTTTAATTAAATAAATAATATAATTTAAAATTAAATCTTTAATTCTTTTAGATTTAAAGTAGTTATGTATTTTTCTGTTTTGTTTTTGTTTTTTGTTTTTATTATTATTTGATCAGGCCACCCAAACCAAAAACAAAATATAAAATTTCCAGTTTTTCCAAAAAAAATTAAAATCAAAATCAGTAGCAGGAAGGAGATTTCAAAAACTTATCTCTTCTCCCAATTACCACCGTCTCTCCCCCACTTTTCTTCGTCTTCTAGACTCAGCACCCGGTTGTATATTGCTAGATAAGACGAAGGCCCCCGCCGGAGCTAGGGTTTTGGAATTTTTTTATTAATTTTTTTTGGCGGAAAACGGTGCCGTTCCTTGTGATGGGCGACGAGAAGACGGCGATCGTGATGGCTAGTAGAGACAGAGATCGAGAGCTTCTCATTCCGGTCGCTGATTCCGTCGACGTTGACAACTCCTCCTCCTCCTCCAAGCCTTCCCCTTCTTCCTCTTCTTCACACCACGCCGGTCGTGAGGTCAGATTTCTTTTCTATTTTTTCTCCTTTTTTTTTTCCAGATTTTGATTGGTTCGTAGTCGCCGTTCTTTGAATAATTCATTCCATTTTGCATTTCGTTCAATGGCGAGAGTTTTCGGTGATTTCGATTTGACTCTTTTTTGGAGTTAGTTTTTGTTGCTAATTCTGGAAATGTATTCAAATTTGAGAATGGTTAATTCACAACCATTTTATTTTTTTCTTTTTGAATTCATTACAGAATTAGTTTTAGTAAATAAAAGCTGCTTGAATCTCCATGATTGCTTGATTTAGTTGGTGCTTGTAATTGAGTTAATTTTGCTTTGCTCAATGGATTTTAATAAGCTCGAGACTGAAACCATTACTTTCTGTTGTTTGATGAATGGCGAACCGCCTTCCGTGTTGACATGGCATTGTATGTTTGGATTGAAATCCAATTTAGTTGAGCTGCAAAAGCATTTTAAACTGTGCATCAATTAGTTAATAATATTTCCAAATGTATGGGGTGCAATTATTGGCAGCAGAATGATTGATGTTGGAGGTGTTTACATGGCATTGTTAGTTAGGATTGCAATCCAATTTAGTTGAGCTTTGAAAGAAATGATCGAAGTTTTTAACTATATATCCAATATCAACTAGTCAATGATATTCCCAAATGAGTGGCATGTAATTCTGGCGAAATGATTTTACCATGTACTGGCAACTCAATGATTGATGATGTTCCATATGCATATGCTTCATTTTATGGATTATCAACTGTGATATTAATCTGTTTTTAAAAAATGAGTTTGATCTGCGTACTGCTGTCTTGCTCCATTTGGAGAATGAAGATATGTTCTCAGGTAGTTTTTATTGAAACTCCTTGCTTTAGGACAGGTCTTATTTTGTTAACAGAAGAAAGGTCTACCATTGATCTTTCATAGATATTGCTTGCTGAACAAATTCTGCAAACTATATTCCACAGGAGAAGAAAAAATAATGTCCTTGAGAAGAAAAAGGTTTTGTTATTTAATTGTGCAGTCAATGGTTAAAGCCATATTTGCAACAGTGAACATCCTGGTGGCCATCTAGGAACTAAATGTATGTATGTGTGTCCACCTGTTTTTGTTAATCTGATAAATTCCTTTTTATTTGTGCAGACTTTTTACAAAGTTGTTAGGAGCTGGGCTTCAAAAAAGTTCATGACAGGATGGTGAGCAATTCTTTCTGTAATCTCCTTTACCGCTTAAAGTTCTTGAACTTATGATGCAAGTTCATGCATTCTTCATTGGCATGATTTGCATGATGCTAATGTTTTTCATTCATCTTCTTTTTATTGTATTCTCTCTCTATTCTTTATCATTGAAAAATTTTTCATCTTTTGGGTGATTTTTGGAAATCTTTTCATGATAATGGATTGTTACTATCAATTTGTATACTGTACCTGATTATTTTTGTTCACACTTTTATGATCATAATTGATTTTGAGTATGTTTATATGTTGTACTTAAAAGCTAGAACCTCATGGACTGTGGAATTATATCTGATGCAGTTTCTAATGTTGACTTGACTTCCCTCCACTTTGAATCTTCTAGATATGGAATTATAGGAACTGGAATTTTTGTGATTATAATATGCCTTGGTATTATATTTAGACTCATGCTGATTGTGCCCAGTTCTGTTATGGCAGTTGCTCACTCATTCAAATTTTGCAGTGTCATCCTGTTTCCGATCGCAATCACTTTCTACATAACATGGTGGTTTATTCACTTTGTGGATGGATTTTTCTCTCCAATTTATGTTCAGCTGGGAATTGACATTTTTGGTAAGCACTCTTTTTTAAGAAACCATAGAAGAAAAATTCTGTTCCATTCCTCTTGAGACCAGTGAGCTTGGTTCTTCATCATTAAATTTTCTAGTAGTCTTTTTATTTATTTGTTTATTTATTTTTCATTTTTGTAGTTTTAATGATCTCTAATTAAAGAATAAAGATTATGCTTCTCTAGGAAAAAAATTATGTTGATAAGAGATCCGTTTTCTGAGATTAACAAAATCAGCTTTGCTTCTAGGAATTTCCTCATGCCTACCTGATGTTTATTATTAATTTCTCTGAAGAAAAGAATGCTTCATGTCATATCTATGTGGGACAGGGCCCTGGCTATTGATAGTGTGGAGATTAAGACTTCCATTGGGTGGTTATAGTCAACTTGCTAAGCACAAGGTTGGCAGATCTCCTTGGACCAATAAATCTATTTTGTTAGAAGGTGTACAAGCACTTATGCCTGCTGTTAATTGCGTCCTTAGGATTCGCAGATGTTTTCCTTGTGCTTGCATAAAAGAAGATTAAACGCCTCTTGTTACTAGTTAGATTTTGAGATTAAACATCTCTAATTAGATATTAAATTATTGTTATATCTTAGATGCCTCTATGCTATAAGCAGATTAAAAATGGTCTTTCCAAGCATCCATCTAATGGTTTTACTCATAACATTGGCTGCTTCATTGCACTACATAAGTTCCATTTGATAATCTCATAATAGTTGCATATGCTTCTTGTTTAGGTCTTGGATTTGTAACATCAATAACATTCATCTTCTTGGTTGGGGTGTTTATGTCATCTTGGTTGGGAGCGTCGGTCCTTGGCCTTGGTGAGTGGTTCATCAAACGGATGCCATTTGTTCGACATATCTACAATGCCTCTAAGCAAATTAGTGCTGCCATATCACCAGGTGTGCTTTTGCTGGTTTTCTTGAAATGACAAATAGAAGTTACTCTAAAATTAGATAAAGATAATCAATATCCAGTATTCTTTATAATTATTTGATATTTTATATTTATTTCAGATCAAAACACTCAAGCCTTCAAGGAAGTAGCCATTATAAGGCATCCACGTATTGGTGAATATGCGTTTGGGTTCATTACTTCATCTGTTACTCTCCAGGTATGCAACTGGTTATTATTCTGAAATTATTATGCCAATGAACTCCCTAAATGTTCATGTCATTTTTCTGAACCATGATGTTGTTTTGTCATTTCTACATCCTTGTGTGCATGATAGAGTGGCATGCTTGTCTGCTTGGGTTTTTCAGCCATTAGCACTTCAACTTGTACGTGCAAAACCTTTTAGCCACTAGACAACTGACATCTTTGGAAAAGCAATCAATCATAAGCCTTTCTTTTAACCTTTTTAGAGCAATTTTTTGGGGCTTGTTTCCACAAGGAGGTTCACTGGTGAGATTCTGAAATTTTAATTTGCCTCTGGTGTCCCTCATGTATCAAAGTATGGTCATGTATGGCACACTTGGCACTTTTGGTGGGTAAACATGTGAATCAATGGTATGAACTTCATTTGGCTTTTTAGCAAAAGCAGTTCTACTCACTGCTATTGCTTTTCAAAAAATTGTGGATCAAATTCATAATATCTTAAAAACTGGGAAATCATGCATTTTAATTTGGATTCAAGCTTCTGCATACATTTACTACTTTTTTTGCATTCTTGTTTAGAAGTTGTGTGGACAATGTTCTATCATAGACTTGGGAAGGGGAGATTGAACCTATCTTAAGCCTTGTTTTGGTAATAACCATTCATTTTGTGGTAGAGGACGTAAGTGTGGGATCTGGGTCACAAATAGGGGTGTCGGAAGTTCTTTTGATGGCCTCTTTTCTTTCCTGGTTTAGGGATATTAATTCTCAGTATGAGATTCTGACACTTGCACAAAGTGAAGACAACTATAATTGCCATTTGTTTTGAAGATTTAAGAATGTGATCAATCATGATTGAAGACATGTGAGTCTGCTAGAATCCCGTTTTTCTTGTATTTATATATTTACTTTTTAATCTTTAAATGCAGAACTATTCTGGTGAGGAGGAGCTATGTTGTGTCTACGTGCCCACTAATCATCTTTACATTGGTGATATATTCCTTGTCAATACCAAGGACGTCATCAGACCAAATCTATCAGTCAGGGAAGGAATTGGTGAGTAATTCAAGTATTGATTTTATCTTTCTTGGTGTTTCACAATTAGTGACCTTCTGGTTATTAGCTCCGATCAATGACTTGTGGGGTCAGGTAATACGGAGCCCATAAATGCCACAGAAGAAACATATGAAAACCAGTAGTGTAAATGTAATTCCAATCAGATGTAACTTTATATGTGATGAACTAAAATGTACTGTGGTAAGCAACTCATTTGTTCGTCCATTGCAGAAATTGTGGTTTCTGGAGGGATGTCCATGCCCCAGATACTCTCAACACTAGAGACACCTGTGCCCCTGGATAGAAGTAGATCCACAACATAAGCTGAGAACGTGACAGTATTTGGTTTCATCGTGAGTCAATGAATGGCCAACCGACCATCGTTTCAGTAATTCCAGATTTGGGATTAGATTTTAATTTCCCTTTTTTTTTTTTCTTGGTTGTGTCACATTATGCTATAATACGTAACAAAATTTTATTTTTTTTGGGTATTTAGCCTTCCATAATGTAGCATTGCTTGTTGCATAGAATATATTTAGTGCTTGATTAGAAATATAGTTTTGCCTTAACTTTATATTCTCAACTGGATTTCATCTATTACTTCATCTCATAATCTATGTATTTTTTTATCTTTGCAACAGTGATGGGAAGAAAATCAACTTGGAGGTTATTTAATGGAGCTTAAAAAGTATTTATTTTTAAAAGATCTTTTTTCATAAGTTTAAAATTTTGTTATAGAGAAATATTTAAAATTAATTTTTAAAGTAAATTTTAAATAAGTTTTTTTGAAAAAATTTTTCCTTTTAATTTTTTTTTAAATTTGCTTGAATTATATTTTAAAAATAAATTTCAAAATTTTTTAATAAAATTTTAATCTTGTAAATGTTTTTATCCGTAGCCTACGAATGGATAAAAAGAAGCAAGTACCGCACGCCTGAACTTTGTGATCCATTAGTTATACGGTCTTCTCGTAAAGTGCATTCTTCTTAGGATTGAGTTCGAATCTCCCCTCTCAATTTGTAATATGTTTAAAAAATAAAAAGAAAAAAGTTAGTACGGAAAAATTCTAGCTTTGTTTGTTGGGCAGTGGGCACACGTTAACCCAGGTAGATGGGCTGTGGCCCAAGTACTTTCCATCATTAAACGGAGCCCAAGTTAAGAGCATAGCAAATTAGCAGCCGCTCCAAAACCCTACTTCCGTCCCGAAGCTCCAAAACCCTAGCTCCTTACTCCACCATCCGTCGCTATATATAATAACACAAAGGCAGCCGCGCTAAGCGCTCACAAGCAACGCTTGTCTGGCGTTTCTTCTCCCTTCATCCTCCCAGATAAGCCTCTTCGTTCTTCGGATCTAATCTCTGCGTTAATATTCTATGGTTTCTTTTCTTTCTTGTTTTGTTTGTTTCTCTCCTGATTTGATTTCCAAGGGACGGTGACGATTTCCTTTTTACATAGGTCTCGTTCGTCGTAAACGGCTATTCCGATAGCCTTGCCGACCATCCTGATATATCACCACCCATATTCCGAGTCCCTCAAAATCTTTTCATTCTTTTCTTTTTTTTCAATTTTTATTTTATCTTATTTTTTTCTGATTTAGATCCGCCAATGATTTAATTCCTTAAGTTAAAAAAGATCTGAAAATTTTCGTGTTGATTGGTCTAATCTAATCTAATCTTCTCTATGAGGCCGATTATTAAATTTTAATTTTCAATAATTTCATGCATTTTTAGTCTATTCTGTAATGTAAAAATTCAGCCAATGATTTAATTTTTTATTTTTTTGACAAGCATATGTCTGAATCTTAATATGTTGTCCAATCTGATTCTCCTATGAGGCTGATTTTTATATTATCCAATCTATTCTATTGCCGGTGATGAATGAAGTGGTTATTTTACTGAAATATTGTGATTACATCTACACTCCTACTGCCTTCCTTCTGAGGCTTGTTGCTTGATTCTTTATTTCATTTTTTATGAATTTTTTAGAGTATATTGTAGATGTATTTGATTTTTTTATAGGTTTAGGCAGATGGGTATTTAGGGTCATGTGATGATTTGATTGCATAGTTCAGCTGATAATCTCTGTGATTATTAATCTGCTAGTCTTTCGCTCCTATCTGATGACCCTTTATTTATAACCTTTGATTGATTTCGTTAAGTTTAGAGAAGCTATTCCTAGTTTAAGTCATAAATTATAAGAATCATGTCGAGAAAGATCATGAGGATATATGTTTTTGTCAAACCAATGTTAGTTTTGGTTGAACATGATATGGGTCCTTGTGATGCACTAGATTTTGTGAATCAATGGCAAGGTTTTTGTGACTTAATATTTAGGAATAATCTTGATGAACTTATTCCATAAGTTGTTCTAGGCATTGTGGGCAACTAGCTAAGGTTTTTCTTTTACGTTTTTATGAAGTAAAACCCTATGAGGAAGAATGCCCAAAGATAGGAAGTGCCGTATGACACTTATTGGCGTTGGCAACTCGCAGGAATCCTCTTTTCCCATCCACCAATCTTGGCCCTTTGATATTCGATTCCCTCCCCGGGATCGTCTTCTCTGGGTTTGGTGATTGGTCGGGAACAGGTGGCCCCTATGTTGTTCCTCCGTCCGGGTGATTTGAAACGGGACTCTGAGGGTTATTTTTTGATTGAAGTTTTGGGTCCGATGCCACGTCGCCATTAGCCAAGAGAGCTATGAGTGGCGATGCTATGATTGGACCAAGAGCAATCTCAATGTTTCGCTTGCTGATAGGAACCTGTGGAACTGAATCTTTGTGATCTACAGAGCCGATTTCGGCGATTACATTTTCATTATTAATCTGTTTTTTGAGATTTTGTGAGTAAAAAGGTGGTGTATATCATTGTTGAAGCCAATGAGGATATGGATGTTTATAAAGTTGGAATTACCGGCTGAAACAATCTTTGATGTCATTTGACTCTTGTCTGAGGCTTGATAATCCCTTATACTATTTGTTCACTATGATTTTAAAACACTTTTTGTGTTTTTGTAAATGTTAAAGTTATTGAAGTTTTTGATTTGAATTCACCTTGCCTGAGGCCTGATCTCGTTCAGGGACAGATTTAAAATTAAAAATTAATTTTGACTTGGACCAACAATATTTTTATAGATATTTATTAAACAATATTTTATTTTAAAATGTAAATTTATTGTTTTTAATAAATTATATATGTTTATTAATGTAATTAATATTTTATAAATTTTTGAGATAATAAAAAAAACAAGAAAAATCATAGCTGTGATCACAGCACAGCAATATTATGATATAAGAAAGCATTTTGTCAATTAAAAGTACTTGCTTCGTACTCTCTTTAAATTGATAAAATTATTGTATTACTTTTAGATTAAAAATGTAAGGATAATTTTTATTTTTATTATTTGTATATTTTAAATAAAAGTAAATAATTATTTTTATTTGAGAATAAATAATTAAAATGGAGTGATAAAGATAATGTCAATGTAGAAAGTACTAAAATATTTGTTTAATGAGGAATTTATTTTGGCTTATGAAGACTTACATCTCGGCAGTTTGTATCCTTAATTAGTAACGAATAAAATTTGTGTCCTTAATAAGTAAATGCATGAAAGTTAATGGTTTAGGATTTCTCCATGAACCTGATCTTGACTCGTAACTACACTATTACTAGGGAAACGGCGTCGTAAAACTGACGTGGCTCTGACATTTTCATCAACGAACGTTAACGGAATCACCGCCGAAATTCGTTCCGAACCTCTAGCTTCGGTACCAAACTTCTACTCCGAACCTAGGCAACGAAGAGCCGAAGACAGCCCGCTCTCCATTGTTCCGCTCCACCTCCAGTCTCCCTTTTTTCATTCACACAGCTGAATTCTCATCTCTCCATTTCTCGCCCGATTCCGACAAACTCGAATGCAACCACCTTGCTGATGCACGTCAAATCGGACTCCGACGTCAGGAGTTCGCTCCCTTCATCGTGGAGATCTCCGAAACGTCCCCTGTACTATGTTCAGAGCCCGCCCAGAGACTCCCACGATGGCGACAAGTTGTCCTGAATGCAGGCCACGCCGGCCTACAACAGTCCCATGGAGTCCTCTTCCCGCCCTTCCTATAGCCGCCACTCCAGGGCCTCCTCCGCCAGGCGTTTCTCTGGACCCTACAGAATGGGAGGAAGAAGAACGACAAGGGAGAGCCGGAGTCCGACGTCATAGAGGAGGAAGAGGATTATGGGGAGTTGTAAGGAAGGGACAAGGGGCTACCGAGGAGGTGTCAGGTTTTGATTGGGGTTTTGGGGTTTGTGGCAGTTTTCTCTGTAAAGCTAGAAGAAAGTTCATGCACTTATAACTGAGACCGGTGGATTCCTGCAACTGTACACATTGCCTCTCGCTTAGAAATGGTGGATTATGGCTGCTTTCAGTCAAGATCAGTGCTTGCAGTCTCAGTGTGTAAGGGTAAGGGAATGTCTTTCAGTGCTTCCGTTCCAAGAGTTTGGCGGGAAAATTGTTTGAACTTTAGATGCTTTCCCAATGGGAAACAGCCATCATCTTTTTAGAGGGAAATATTCTATTGATAACATTATCTTTGTTCATTAGGAAGTTCCATGTTTGTCTTCAAGCCTCCATGTGGAGGCAAAATACATAAAATTGCCTATAATAATTTAAATAGGCTCCGATGATATTTAAGTATTAATAGAATTCACTATTTTGCAGTTTGAATTATAAAACAAGAACCATTGAATAAAAAGATCTTTCAACATTAAGTGAATTATCTCTTATTTAACAGTCTAAGTTATATAATCTCATATAATTTAAACTGTATAATATTTTTTTTTTGATAAATAAATGCATCAACTTGACACAATAAATAAATGGCTGTTTAGGAATTGGGATAAGTACCAAACAATCAAACAATGATATCTCAGTTTTGCATAAGCATCAAGTTGTAATTGCTTACAATTTACAGCTAATAATTAAAGACTCTGATCATGCTCAGGCATGGCCACAGCGAAAAATAAAGTAGATGCTATTTGGTTTCCTAGAGGGATGGCTGAACAATGTGAGTTAGACTTTCAAATTGGAGGTGTCATTGATTCAATCCTTGAGATGGATGGGGTTTTAAGAAAGGAGATGCCGGTCCCCATTGTAAGTCAATCATTATATGTACAAAAAAAAATAAAGCGGAGAATATCTCTACAATCTACTTGGATGGAAGGAAACCATATAACTCAATGAACCATAGAGAGCGACAAGAAGTGGCATCCACAAAACTTGGAATTGTATTAATTTTTAGTCATTACAATGGTCAATGTCAGATCTTCTTTGAAGTAAGACCACCAGGATAGGCCTTCAAAAGGGCTTGCTTAGTTGCTTTTACAAGAATGAACCTTCTACAAGAAGGGAAAGTAATGCGGGCTATTCTACAAGGGAAAATGACATAAAAATGAATAACCAAATGCCATACCCTTGATTGGTTAAATACAACCAAATGGCTCTATCTATTCAGATGTTTGGCTGCTTTCTTGCTTGTCAACAGCACAGCCACTGTCAAGTACAGTGCCACCTACCCGGTTTGGTGGCCAATATCGGAATACAGATCGTCCAATGATATTTTTGGCAGGAAGAGGACCCCTGAAAGAGAAAAGAAACAACTCAAGAAGTCAATTCTAAGGTTTTGTGAATGCACCATCACCAACTTGCAACAGCATTAGATCTTACCATACATGGGAGTCATAGCTATTATTACGATTATCACCCATAACAAAGACTGAGTTCTCTGGTACATGCTGCAACATGAATAGTTGATGCAAAATTAGTAATATATGGCACAAAATTACATATCAGGTTGAAATACAATCTTGCAGAGTCTCTAGCATCATAAAGTCTGCTTCCTCATTTCTCATCTGGACCTCAGAAGGAAAAATTGAAAGCTGGAAGCTGCTAATGATTACCAAATGATACTTACAATTGGAGTCATTTCATAAGAAGGTGCTTCAAGAATAAAGTTTTCATCTCGTACAACACCATTAACAATAAGTTTTCCATTATGAACCTGCAATCAAGGAATATACTCTGGTAAAACCCAACAAATCCAAAGATAGTTCTTGTAGATTTATTTGGAACATAGTTAAAAAAGGTTTTTTGTATGAGGTGTTCATAATGAAAGGCTTTATTTTGTTCAAATAAATAAACAGGAAAATACTTAGAGACTTCAAAATCAATACACTCCTGCAATTCTCTGAAACAGAAATAAAACTGGTGGTTCCTAAAATTACATTGAGGAGCAGGCTCAAAAAGGAAAAAAAAGTATGGTCATAAAATGACTTTACCTCCACAATATCACCTTCCTTGGCAACTACACGTTTGATGAAGACATCATCATCCGTATATCCTACTTCCTGAAGAACCGGTGGACTCTTAAAAACTACTATATCATTAGGACATGGCTTCCTGAAGTAGTATGTAATCTGAAAATTTAGTCAAAAGACTGCCAATTATAAAATTCACCAATTAACTGCTCATCAACTTATATGGGCAGGCAAGCAAAATAAAATGCAGACATAGTTTATGAGGTTAATATAGGTAAAGATAAATGTGAGTTATCAAGCAATATAGATACATCATTCTCCTTTCCTGACTTATTTTTCGGGTTTCTGAGTTGCTTTCTGTAAGTCAAGCACAGGTCCATTCTTTTTCAGGACAAAGCAGACAAAAAATTTCAAAAATAAAAACTTCTGGAACTGACTTAGATTAAGTTCATATATTAATTTTAATTCAGATATCATCAACAAAGGTTTTCATATTAACATTGGGAAGGCAAGTGTTAGCAAAAAGAGGAAAATAGAAAGAATGAAAGATTAACCGGAGATATTTAGAGATGTGAGGAAATCACTATTCTTTGCGGGATTTTTCTTTTTGCAGGACTTTTCTTTTACATCTTTTGCAATTCAAACTCTCACCAAGCCAAAATATGTTCAAAGTGTCCGCTAATCCAGTCAAACACACTTTTAAATTATCCAACAGCAAGAAGTCTCACCAATCCAATGCAAGTATAACCTAAGATTAAAGCATGACTTTCAATGTACAATTCAAGCACAACAAAATCCAAACACTTTTCCATGAAATGACATAAAGAGACAGGCAGAAACATCAAATATTCAACAGTATATCACAATGTTTCCACTTGACATTTTAAGCATTCAAGACTTCATGATAATTACAAAAACTATGGAACAATGAATTACTACCTTCTCCGCAACAAGTCGATCCCCTACATCAAATGTAGGATACATAGACAATGAAGGTATGTACCTCGGCTCTGCCACAAATGATCTAAACGCAAGCGATATGGCCACTGCCACGAACACCGTTTTCGCATCATTTGAATTGAAATTCAACCATTCCGGCAATAGCCCACCTCTCTTCTCCACCTTCCCATCATCTTTATCTTCATCTCCACCACCTCCTTCGTCACCACCAGAGTTCACAACCACCTTTGTCTCTTCATCAGAGTCTTTAAGCCCAGAACAGTGAAGCCTCGGTCTCTGAAACAGACTTCTGGGATTTAATATTCTGGGAGTTTTGACCTTAAACCCGGAAAAAGTACGGTATTTGAAAAGAGAAATGACATGGGTATGTCTTAAATTGGGTGAGGGTATTGAAGTTGGGTGGAGATTGAGAATGGTGAAACTGAGGTTTTTGAGAGGTTTGAAGATATGGGTTGAGGCAAAATTAGGACTTTTCAGTGGTTTAGACGAGAATAGAGAAAGAGAATGAGGGCTTTTAAATGTTTTTGAGAATTGGGTTGAATTGAGAATTGGGTTTTGAAGGGAAGGCAATGGAGGTTGCGGCTGAAGGGACATCACCATCTCCATCTTCAGATACACTCACCTTCTATTTTGAGATATGAAGTCCGGAAGGAGGATGGGGTTGGGATTCGGGCGTTGCAACCATTTTTTTAGTTTTTTTTTTTAATGATGTTTAAAAATATTAATTAATATTAATTTATTAGTTAATAAATATTAATTTTTAATTTTTAATTATTTTTATTTATCAAATTATATAAATTAAATTAATATTTTTAAAAATAATATTTTTTTTCTATATAATTAATATTTTACTTAGTAACTATAACACCTCATATATGAAATTCGAGAAATTTCAATAATTAAGATATGTTTTATTTTTTTGTTTTTTAACTCATGGAATTTTTTGAAATGCGAAGTATTGCTTGAGTATTGTATTCAAAACTTCACGTCTTAATAATTTTTATCCACTAAATCATTTAATACTAGACATTCGGATATGTTGGATTTAATTATTTTCTTCGGTTAAGTTACAATAATCAAAATAATTAAAAAGGAAAAATAAAAGTAACTTCTTCCTTCCCCTAACTAGTCCCCTCTCTACAATTTGTTCGGTAACCATATAAAAAAATTATTTTTCTCTTTTTGTTTTTTAAATTAGATATATTGTTGAGAATAGTATAAAACAAATTATTCTCTTAAAATTTTTTTAAGAGAGGATCAGTTTTAAAATCTATCTTCTAAAATATTTTAAAAAATTGATCATT